TTCTTACTTAATTAGGGAAGCCGTATGCCACTATTGTTCAAGCTGTGACAATATAACACATGGCTTTTCTACTGATTATAGTTATGTCATATAATAAGGAGAAGACCAAGTTTGCCGAATGTGAGCTGAGAGGGATTGGAGAAGACCAATTCAATATGACGGTAGAATTAACCACGGCTGGAAACTAGTCTCTGAAATTTCAGGAAAATTAAAAGATCGAAGAACTGGTTTTTTTTTTTTTTTGGGATAAAATGTAAAATCTTATTTATCTAAAAACTGAAGTGTACAAAAAGCAGCAATTTCCTGCTACATTCAATTAGGTAAAACTAATAGTGAAAATCTATTGTTCTTGCACTTTTACAGCTGCCTCAATCCCCCATCTTATTGAGATATCCATGGACGAAGGGGAAGATTAATTTAGGCTTAACAAAAGCATCGTTACTGACTGAAATTGTTGTTGATGAATCTGCCTGTTCCTTTCTTCTCTCCAGAGGTGGTAAATTAAGACCAAAGAACCGATGATCCAACAGAACCACACATTCTTTCTGCTTTCGCAACTCACCCTCACAGTTTTTCTACTATTTTTGGAATGATACAGCAGATGGATACTGAAAAAAGAAGAGAAGAAATTAAAATGGTAGTTCTAATTAGTGTGCTTTCTGAACAAAGAAAAATGGTCCAATTAACTATCAAAACAACTCACGGGTGTAAGTCCATGAATTAGTCTGGTATGGCTTAATTTGAGCATAATGCAACCTCAAAGCATTATTTCATCCACCTTCATATATATCCTTGAACCGTCCTTGATATGGCAAGAGAAGTTAGGAGGAGCAAAACTCTAAGAAAATCCATGTCCTGCAAAAGTGAATTAAGGCTTAGAAACTTCCTGATGAGATGATAGAGAATCTCTCAGGGGAAGTATAGTAGGGAAATTGAAGCGTCTTTGAAAAAGGGTTGTCCCTCCCTCGTGCATTACTAGAGAGGGCATTGTTTGGAAGGTAGAAGTTTGTTACTGCAACCATGATGGATCCTGGGAACACCTCCATTTGTTCACCAAGATGTTTAATTTCAAAGTATAATTAATCAGTAAGCCAATCCATTGTTGGATTACTCATTTCTTACTCATCATACCACAAGCATTCCTACATGAAAGGCAGTGTTAATGTCAAAGCATCCACCCTCACCTGAGTTCATAAATGATGAATAATAATATTTTAAAAAATATGTAAATGTAAAATCTTATTTTTCCAGTAACTGAAGTATACAAAAACCAGCAATTTCGTACTACATTCAATCAAGTAAAACTAAAAGTGAAAATCTACTGTACTCGGCACTTTTACTGCTGCCTCAATCCCCCATCTTATTGAAATATCCATGGACGAAGGGGAGGATTTAGGCTTAATAAAAGCATCATTACTGACTGAAATTGTTGTTGATGAAATCCGCCTGCTCCTTTCTCCGCAAAGGTGCTAAACTAAGACCAAAGAACCATTGATTCAGTAGAACCACACATTCTTACTGCAGTCGCAACTGATCACCCTCACAGTTTCTCTGCTATTTTTGGAATGATACAGCAGATAGATACTGAGGAAAGAAGAAAAAAAATTAAAATGGTAGTCCTAATTAGTGTGCTTTATGAACAAAGAAAAATGGTCCAATTAAGTACTATCAAAGCAACCTACAGGTGTAAGTCCATGAATTGGTCTGGTATGATATAAATTAGTCTAATAAGTCCATTTACAACTAGTAATAACTTGAATTTAAACTTCTAAATTTTGCGCATATTAAAGGATTAAATGTGACAGTCATGCACCTTAAAATAATTTGCACACAATGCTACCTCAAAGCATTACTGCATCCACCTTCATATATACCCTTGAACTGTCCTTGATATGGCAGGAAAAGTTAGGAGAAAAACTCCAAGAAAATCCTTGTCCTGCAAAAGTGAATTAAGGCTTAGAAACTTCTTGATGCTTTGATATTAACACTACTTTTCATGTAGGAATGCTTCTGGTATAATGAGGAAGAAAGGAATGATCCAACAATATGCACTGTGTTTCTCTCTTATTCATCTTAATTTGCAGCCAAAATTACTTCACAGACACAGCTGCATTTAGTGCTGCTTTACTTACCAATGGATCGACCTACTGATTATACTTTGAAATTAAACATCTTGATGAACAAATGGAGGTGTTCCAGGGATCGATCATGGTTGCAGTAATAAACTCTTACCCTTTTTTAAAGCACTTCAATTTCCCTACTGTCTTCTCATCCCCATAGAGATTCTCTGATGGTAGTAGAAGTTAATTAACAAATGGATCCAGAAAATCCAAATCCTGCAAAGCTGAATAAAATTTATTTTAAAGTCTTAGCATTTTGAGACTAAATTGTGTAAGATATCTTACAAGAAAACTCTAGGATTTATATTCATATGAGAAGGATTGCTTCCTAGAACTCTTATGCATCATACTGCACCCAATACTTTGGATCCATGCCATTGTTGGAATTCCATTAGCATTTTCACTACCTTGGAGGCCTGGACTTGGAATCTTGACCAATTGCCTTTAACTAATACCATAGTTGAATTTAAATAAAACTAGAATGAAAAAGGTAAAGGGTTTATCTTTATTCAAAATCCTATAAGATACAAGACAAGACCTATGTAAGATGTTATGAAGATGCAAGGAAGCATTCGCCAAAATTATGAGAAATTTAGATGAAAGTGAAGAAGACGGGGGTTCGGGGAGGGTAGTTAAGGCGACATTGTTCTAAACATGCCATGATGCCAAGTATTGTTGTTATGATGCTAATATTACATGTCAGTTGAAGTAATTAGTACCTCATGCATTTATGCTTTGCTATTTTTTGGTTTCTGACTTTTTTCCTCTTTTCATCAGCAGTCCACAAGATCACCCTTTTTTTTTCTTTCCTGCGTGTTTTACATACATAAAAATAAGGGAATGTGCAGGAGACTAATTTGATGTTAGGAGATGGGAGGGGATCTACTGAAGTCCCATGAACCGGAATCAATATAGATATAATAACACAAAGATGGCCAATCTTGTAAGCTGCAACAGGAAAAGGAATTAATGAATAAGTACATTGCTGAATTGAAGGGTAAGGACAGAGATATCTTGAGTGAATTAAAATCCTAAATAATAACATAAACAAAAGAAGTAACTAGCATAATAGAAATTATAACAGGTAGTTTGGCTACTCACAGAGTAAGTTCTGCTTTCCCAACTGAAAGTTTGCAAAACAGAAGCTTCAAATAGATTACAGGCTTGTTGAATTCACCAAAGGTAATCCCACTTTCCAGTTCCAGCCTACAGAAATTCCCATTTTAACAAAACGCCAGTCTAGATGGCCAAATACCAAAACCATGTTCCAGGCAAGAAGGAAGGTCACCAATCCAGACTGATTACAAGTAACAACACTGAGCTGTCACTAACAGTGAAGCTGCGGACCACCATTCTTGAAGCTGTCACTAACACTGGGCTTTTCTACTGATTTTCTTGTGCTAACTTTTGCTTAGATGATTGATTTGTGAATTTCAGGAGGGCGATGGTTCACATGGGTTCACCTGGATGCATATACAATGGATGTGGTTGCAAGGTTCAGAAATGTAAGACCAGTTAGCCTGGCTGCTCCAGTTAGATACTATACCAGACCTTTCTGGCTCTAGAGTATTCAGTATTCAATTGAAATAAATGTACTAACAATGTTAATATTTCATTTCTTGCATATAAAACCATTCACAACCATAGGATATCAGAGATCATTCCATTCATAACTGAGTAATACTTCTTCAGGGTTTGAATTATGTTCTTAAGCTTATGGTGGATATAAATAAAGCATTCACTTTTCTTTTTTTAAGAACAGAAACCATCTGTTTTATCCATTAAATTCAGAAATGTGTACGTGGACCTAATCCTAAAGATTTTATTTGGGTTGATGGTATACACAAGTCCAATTGCAGTCAATCACCAAAGAGTTCAGTATAAATAATAAATTCAACTTGAAAAGGATCAGGAAGAAAAAAAAAAGAAAAAGAAAAAGAAAAAGAAAAAAAGAGCTTTTCTAGCTATGGGGATGCATAGATCAAAAACCAATCTGTGTACAATACACTGTTCCAAAAAGGCTCACCAAATACCACACTCAACAAGTGTTTTCTCTATGTGCAATTAAGCGGAAAATAATCAAACTTAACAATAAAGCAAGCAACTATTAACAAGAATAAAAATTAACAAATGCACACAATCAAGACAGTGAAATTTTTTTAACATGAAAAACCCTTAAGGTGCATTATCAGTGAACAAGAATGCCAAGCACACATATATGGTAATATAATATAACCTGTTATTGAAGAAGACAGAAATTAGATAGTCTTTAATGCAACTAATATATATTAATCGAGAGAAGAAAGCAATGGGAAATAATCAATTAATTCTAAGGCAGCTAACATCATAGATGACAGAGGAATAGACTAGTATATTGTCAAAATGTATCACTTTGCTGAAGTAAAATGAAGGGCAGATATAGCGTGATATAGAAAGCATATATAATTCTTTAAAATATATTACTTTTGATTCCCTATTCCTCAAAATACCAAAGCAAAAAGGCATCACAGTGAAACTCTAAGGAGGTAATTTGGATACTTACAGTGTAAGTTCTGCTTTCCCAAAAGAAAAATTTGTCAAACTGCCTGCAGCTTGACTTGGTCATCTGCGTTTCAGTTCCAGCTTACAGAAAAATCACATTTGAACAAAGGGCAGTCCATATGACATGCAGCTGGCAAGAAGTAAGGCACTATATGTATTGAGAATATCCTTCTGAATCAGCAGGCTCCCAACTCTTCAAACATGAGGTCCTGCAGTAATTGAATTTAAAATTGAAATTCGTTGGCCTGCTTAAGAATATCATTTTGGAAGCTCACTGGTGGTTCTGGCCTTATCAATATATTTGTGAATTTCAAGAAATGCATTAGCCATTTTTGAGGCAATTGAATTCATGTTTTCAGAGGAAAATAATTTTTGAGGTGGAAAATAAATAGTGCAAGAAATATGTGCGAAGTGCAAGCAAGCAACAATATATGAAAGCATAAAATGTTGATGCCTGTTTCAGTTCACACTGTGTTCTTACCTCATCCTCATCTATCTCGACATTGGGGATGGCACGGGTGAGAGTCCAGTAGTCTCCTTTCGCCTCAAAGCGCTGTCCTCTTAGAAGTGGACACCTGCTGATATATAGTTCTCCAAGCGAAGGAGGAAAGGCTTCCCCTGGCAAAGATTGTAGCTTCGGGCAGTCAATTATCCATAACTTTTGAAGGGAGTTTAGGTTTTGGAAGAGCCCTCCTGGTATGGATTTCAAATTTTCTTCATTCTTTATCTCAAGAGAGGTTAAAGAAGAAGGCAACACAATATCGAGAGGGAATTTCTGCTCAATTGTCAATTATTGAAGAGACGTAAGGTTTTGGAGGCCCATCGTCAAAGCCCCACCTGGGATTGTTAATCTCTGAAGTGATGTGAGCTGGCACATTGTATTTGGTATAGACTTGAGATTCATACAGTCTAATCTAAGATCTGTTAAGTTTGTGGGCAAACTCCCATCTGGAATGAACTCGATGCTGAGGCAGTCTTCCAACCGTAGCCTTTGAAGAGATTTTAGCTGGTACATCATACGTGGGAGGGACTTGAGATTCTTACAGTCTAAGAATGCAAGGTCTGTTAAGCTTGGGGCCAAACCCCCATCTGGAATGAACTTGATGCCTGGACAGCCTCCCATCGATAGACTTCGAAGAGAATTCGACCGATATATTGTATTTGGGCAGGACTTGAGAAGATCACAGCTTTCAATAGATAATTCAACGAGATTGCTGACCCAATCAAGGGTGGGTAAACTTTTCAATATTTTACACTCGCAAATAGAAATGGATTGGAGTTCCATACAATGTTGCAGCATCCTCTCTGTGAATGATTCCACCCATTCACAACCACTAACTACAAATCTCTTGAGAAAAGCTGGTAACTGATGACAACACTCAGAAGAATACAAACATGGAAGATTACTTATTTCCAAATGTAGATTGCTATTAGTGTCACCATCTGTATCTGGTAGAGACCCCAAACCTTTACAGTCTGCTATTCTCAAGTACTTAAGCGTGATAGGTAATTTGCCTCTTGGGAAAGACTTGACAGAATCACAACAAGAAATTTCCAACTTTCAAGTCTCGACATCAACATACCAGTGTTGCTGCTGTTGGGAATTTCGAACACCACAATCCCATACAAACGGAAGCGATAAAAAAATTGAGACAACAATTTAACGTGATTCGACTTGTACACCTCTCAATAAGTCTACGTCCACGGGAAAGAAAGAAATAAATCCATTATTAAGAAAAAGAGTATAATAATTTAGAAGCTCTCTCACTCAAGAAGCTCTTAACACCCTAGTTTCAATATATAGAAATTCCCAAATTCTCCCTAATACTCTCTTTTAATCTACACAAGGATTTCTCACCATTTCTCCCTTTCTTTTTCGTCACAAGAGCTCTCCCTCAATTTCTCTTGCTTTCTCCCACTCTTGCTTGTCCATTGCCTTTGCATGCATGGGTATTTATAGTGAAAAATCCCAACCACCCATACATCATTTTTCTTTGCTCATTAAATTTCAACAAAACAATCTAGCCCACAATTGGCTTATAGGCTGGTGAAGCAAACTTTCACATGGAAAGTCCATGTGTTCATACGTGGGGTTGGACTTTCTTTCAACAATCTCCCCTTCCAACCCTATGGAAGAAGAAACCAACCATGACTCCATACACTTCAACATTCCATAATTTTGCTCCCCGTGCTCAGGAACACTTCATCATGATGTCCTATTTTTGAGTGCTTCCTCCTAGTATAGGATAGGACAAACCTACACTAGGAGCATTACAGAAATTAATTTTGAACCAAGATATGATCCGAGGGAAAATCACACTGTTGACGACCACTTAAGATTTTTCAAAAAAATGAAAAATTAAGTGTGAAATATATAAGAAAAGGGAGTTGCCACTCATCCAAATTATAAGGTAGGACAAGTCACATAAAACGGGTTTGCGCAGAGATTGAGATTCGAGGGTTTAGTTAGGAGTGAAGAAGGACATATGTGCACCTCACAATCCTCCGTTTAAACATGGTTACATACTTTAAAATTGGGGGTTTTGATTCAACTTATTCATCATGTTTATATTTGGGTCTTAATAAACAAGCTTAAAAAAGAGATAAACCAAATTGCAACATTTTTTAACCTTTTGGACTAAAATGGATGAAATCAAAGACATGCATGTACAAGTAAAATTTAAAGGGATTAGTTTGATTAAGTTTGAAACAGGAAGGACTGATTTGACTAAATTTAAAACATGGAGGACTGATTTGAAAAGAGTTAGACCCTTGGACTAAATTGCTTAATCATAAAACTTTAGGGTGAAATTGAAATGAAGAAAGATAATTTTGACTTTGAATAACATTTAGGGTATTTTTGAATTATTTTATAAAAAGTGATATAAAAATAATTTTTTTATATTATCTTTATATATTATTAAATAAATGAATATATTTGATATCATTAATTTTAATAAAAAAATAATTATTTAAATGATACATAAAGTTTTTTAAAAAATAATACAAAAAGATTATTCTTAAATTTTTTTTTTATTTTTTTTTTTGGATATTTTGAGATACTAATATTTCTTTGAGTATGGTTTTAAGAACATATTTTTACATCAATTTAATGTTTTTGATCATTAACTTTAAATATTAAATTTAACCTGTGTAATACAATAATCACATATCAATGAATGAATCGTTGCTATATTAATAACGAATCTCATTAGTATATGTCTGATATGATGAGGAAAATTTATAAGATTTCTACAGGATTGACGATGCATGGAGACCATAAAAAAAATTAAAAGAATAAATAATAAATAAAGGAGGGGGAATACCGACCATGTAGTTCACTGTCTGTAATTGCACCAAACCAGAAGTCCTTCTTTAGTCCGCATCTTCACTTCGGATGTACCTGCAAAGCCCCGAGGTGAGCTCTCGGGGTAGACACTCCAATGCTTAAGTCAGCAATAATCGGGGTTACCTTTAGAGTGGAGATAAAATGAGCTTAGGGTTGGTTTCAATTACTTTTTTAGCGTGGCCCCTGGGGGGTATTTATAGGCTCCAGTGAGGAACCCACGTGGCATGCTAAGCAAAATAATCGAAGCCTGACGTGTCTCTCCAGACAGTTATTTCGAGACTGGGAAATTGAGAGATATTCAAGTGCGAGAATGCCCATCGTAACTACTGTGCAGCTTGTCATAAGGAATCAGGTGCGGGCATGCTTATTGTTGCTGTCATGCAGTTGTTTGAGCGGGAAGTGTTGGGTTTATCCTTCACTTCGGTTATAAAGGAATTACTGCCATATGTCCAAGGTTGGGCACCTCGGACCTATCCTTACACTATTCCCCCCTCGAAGTCATTCACTTATGAATGATTAGTGTAGAAGATGAGCGTAGATGGGGGTAGTCAATATAAAAATGCATGACATGAAGTCGTGTTTTTGGCTGTAGTCGAGGTAAAAAGGCATGACATAGAGTCATGTGTTTTGGGTCGTAGCCAAGGAAAAAATGCATGACATGGAGTCATGTGTTATAGCTATAGCTGAAGTAAAATTGCATGAAATGGAGTCATGTGTTATGGTCGTAGCCGAAGTAAAATTGATGACTCAATCACAGTGGCCAGAGTTGAAATAATATAGGTGACGTGTGGTCACTATGGCTGGAGCCGAAGTAAAATAGGTGACGCATAGTCACTATGGCACAAGCCGAAGTAAAATAGGTGACTTGGTGTCACTATGGCAGGAGCCGAAGTAAAATAGGTGACTCGGGGTCACTATGGCCGGAGTCGAAGTAAAATATGTAATTCGGGACCACTATGGTCGGAGCTGAAGAAAAATATGTGACTCGGGGTCACTATGGCCAGAGCCGAAGTAGAACTGGTGACTCGTGGTCACCATAGCCGTAGCCGAGGTAGAATTGGTGACTCGATGTCACTATGGCTAGAACTAAGGTAAATAATGATGACCGGAGTCATAGCGACCAGAGCCATAACGACCGGAGCCGAAGTAATAAGTAATGACTGGAGTCATGTGGCTAGAGCCGAGGTAATAAGCAATGACCAGAGTTATAAGGGCCGAAGCCGAAATAAAAGTAATGATTGAAGTCATGTGGCCGAAACCGAAGTAATAAGTAATAACCGGAGTCATGTGGCCGGAGCTGAAGTAATAAGTAATGACTGGAGTCATGAGGGTCGAAGCCGAAGTAAAACATGTGACGCTGGGTCACTGTGGCCGGAGCCGAAGTAAAGCATGACATTGGGTCACTGTGGCCGAAGCTGAAGTAAAGCATGTGACACTGTCACTGTGGGTCGGAGCCGAAGTAAAGCATGTGACACTAGGTCACTGTGGGCCAGAGCCGAAGTAAAGCATGTGACACTGTCACTGTGGGCCAGAGCCAAAGTAAAGCATGTGACACTGTCACTGTGGGCCGGAGCCGAAGTAAAGCATGTGACACTAGGTCACTGTGGGTCGGAGCCGAAGTAAAGCATGTGACGCTGGGTCACTGTGGCCAAAGTTGAAGTAAAGCATGTGACACTAGGTCACTGTGGTCGAAGTCAAAGTAAAGCATGTGACATTGGGTCATTGTGGCCGGAGCCGAAGTAAAGCATGTGACACTGGGTCACTGCGGCCAAAGTCGAAGTAAAGCATGTGACGCTGGGTCACTGTGGCCGAAGTCGAAGTAAAGCATGTGACATTGGGTTACTGTAGCTGGAGCCGAAGTAAAGCATGTGACACTGGGTCACTGTAGCCGGAGCCGAAGTAAAGCATGTGACGTTGGGTCACTGTGACCGAAGTCGAAGTAAAGTTGCATGACCCATAGTCATGTGTTATGTTTGTAACTGAGAATGATGACCTTGAGATGCCCATAAGAAAATCTTGGTCTTTCGAGTCATAGCATAAAATCAAACCCCTTTAAGGGTTGTGCTTTGTAGAGTTAAGATTGAACTGAGCTTTCATAGAACAAATGAGCTGAGAAGTTGATAGTTGATGGACGCAAGCTCTTGTAGATCGAATGGGCTAGAAAAGCCAATAGCTAATGGGCTCAAAGGCCAATAGTATTTTCTGATGAACTTATAAGTTTAAAAGCTGATAACATATTTCTGAGTCTTCCAAGCCAAGGAGTTAACAAACTCATGAGACCTGTAAGAATTCACTCTAAACATAGAACTTGACATGATCCCATTAGTTCATCAATAATCAATAATATATGAGATGCATCAACATTAAAGTGGCACAATAATTTGGAATTAAATATAAATGTTTGTGACATGAGTTATCAAAATAAACAATGCTAAACTATGAGTTTCAAAATATATTCAAGCAGCAAGTTAAGCACATGCCAAGTAAAATGTGAAAGTTTATTTTTGTTGCTTATGTATTCCTACTCCCCCTCTCAAAAAGAGATTTATCTCTTTAAGTTAGAACCAATAATAAAGACCACCAGCTCGTGGATATCACTAGCTTGTGGATTATTCCACCATTTGCATGAGGCTCCAAAAATGTATTAATATAAATAAATGTCATTTAAGCCACTCACTTTTAGTTGAAACATGAAGAATATACTATATTCAGTATATTTAATAAATAAGGGCTTAGCATATCTTATTGATGAATGGCCCATGAGAGGTGGAACAGGATGGCTAGTGAAATGGCAAGCTGGTTACAAGCTAGACCTGAGCTCGACTGTCATAAGGATGAGCTCAAGCAGTTAAGTTCATCTAAAGTTGTTTACGTCATCTAAGGTGGTTCACCTCGGACGGGCTAGCATGAGGATAAGCTCAAGCAGTTGAGTTCATCTTTGGTTGTGTACTTCATCCAAATGGGTTGTCATGAGGATGAGCTCAAGTAGTTGAGCTCATCTGAGGTTGCTTACACCATCCAAGGGAGCTCACCTCGAAATGGGTTGTCATGAGGATGAGCTCAAGTAGTTGAGTTCATCCGAGGTTTACCTTATCCAAGGTAGTTGACCCCGGAATGGGTTGTCATGAGGATGATCTCAAGCAGTCGAGTTCATCTAAGGTTGTTTACCTCATCTAAGGTGGTTCACATCAGACTACCATCACACTATTCCCCCTCTAGGAGTCATTCACTTGTGAATGATGTGGAGGTTATGTGGGTAGGGGGTAGTCCGAGTTAATCCGAGGTCGTTTGCCTCATCCAGGGTAGTTCACCTTAGGATGGGCTAGCATGAGGATTAGCTCAAGTAGTTGAGTTTATCTGAGGTTTACATCATCCAAGGGAGTTCACCTCAGAATGGACTATCATGAGGATGAAGTCAACCAAGTTTATGAACATGTTTAAGTTCCTAAGTCAGCACATGAAGTTCCTGTTGTTAAAGTCCAAGGCTGACCATATTATATGATAAAGGTACAAATATATACACATATATATATCTTAAGCTTAGTATCATAGTTAATAATTGTAGCTAAAGTAAATTATGAAGCTGCACCTTTTAATCATAGGTTCCTATTAGAAGTCATAATGATGACTCTTCTCCCCCCTTAACCTGCACATTTGGGGCTGGTAAACATAAACGTTGTAATCATAAATTACATTATTTGCATTTTTATGCTTTAACATGTCCAATAAACAAGCAGTCATGCATGTTGCAATAATAAGTCTTTCTAGCTTGTAAATATAAGAACAAAAATTGGACATGCAAAATAACTCATAAAAATCTTAACTGTGCAAAGTAATTTTGAAAATTTTAATATGTAACACTTGCTTGACTTGCAGAGCAGAATTAATTTATACTTGAGAAAGAATTGTGCTTGATGAGATAGAAACTCGAGAAAAAATTTAACTTCTTACGAATGATGTTAACTCCTTGCTGTGACTCAAGAGCAAATGTGGAGAGAAAAAATCTAGCCTCTCATAAATGATGCTAGAGAAGAAATTTACTTGATGATCTTTGTAAGCTATTGAGCTTTATGGTTGGGGCCCGTAGCCTTTTAAAATTGGATGGAGGAGTTGTTCATAGCTCGTATATAATTTTGATGGAGGAGCTCAGCATAAAGGGATTTCTCTAGAACCCACCCCACATGGAGTCCCTGCACTTTTCCATCTCTAAAATAGCAA